TTAAGGGTCCGATTACCGAGTCACGACTGTACATCAACTGTGGAACACAGTAAATCAGAAGTAGACAACGTTCGCACCTATCTCCATAGAGCATGGGCATCTGTAGGCAATGGAGGCAGGCTTCATGAAACCACTGCTGACACCTGCTACACTGGAGCATCTTCAGGTACCAGCTACAAGCAAACAGAGACAGATTAGATGCACCAGGATATGTGAGATTAGGATTTTATGGGCACGTAGGGGGAAAAAATGAATTCTTCAGTGTCTTCAAGTATGTAGCACTCACTCTCCAGGACCACCACAGTAGCAGTAGCACTGCTGGATGTTCGTCTTGTGGCCCTGGTCCCACACCAGTTCATCCAGTGTGTACGGGAAGGACAGGTGGAGCTCCATGTGCTGCTGATGCTGCTCTTGCTGCAGAAAGCCTTTAGCAGATGCTCCCCTTCTGTGCGCCCTCCCCCTCTGAAAGCCACACAAACAAAAAGCATTATCCTCCACGACAAAGACACCATCAACACAATATGATCTATAGTCTGCTATCTGCATTTTGCTTTACAGTAAAAGCAGAGAAAACAATGAGTAGCCATTCGTTAAGCTCATCTAAGCACACAACTTATCCTTAACCAACCGAAAGGCTTTATGTATTTAAACTCGGAACAAAAACGGTACCTTGGGCATGGAGGTGAGCTCACATTCTGAGCAAAGCCACTTGTCATCAGAGTCAATGACAGCAGCGTCGATGATGGGGTTGTGGCACAGCTGATGGTAGCCTGCAAGACAATGAACGATTATATGCAGCTGCTATCTAAGTGCACCTACCCAGAGATTAGAGCACAGCAGGAAGATAAATAAACTATTAAAACTGGTTCATTAAATATGAAAGAACTGCCCCGCTGTGTTTGTCGTTACTATAATCAGAAACCAAAATCTTCACCTTGTCCACATTTGTCACAAATGACAATCTCATTGGGTTCCTCTGAGGCTTCATCCTGGCATATGGAGCACACAATGTCATCGTCTTCGTCGTCATCATCATCTTCATCTCCTAAAATGGATATAAATAGTCAGAAAATAAGTAACCTAATAAAGTAATAACCAAGCATTTGACACAGCGGCTATGGATGGAAGCTGTTCATCTGCTGTCACACAGGTTTCATAATCTTAAATAATTATCTTTATAAAAATGCAACATATTATCACGAACTGATTACACAGAACGATGGGATATATGCTACTGGATTTTAAGAACGTGGTCCTCGTTGATCCCAGCTCGTATTAACACCTGTGCGCCGGCCGGAGGTCATTAAGCATTACAGAAGACTTTGTTCGCAAAACATGAATAAAGTATCGCAGTCTGAGCGACCGCCTCCTCAGTACTAAACAGCAAGAGGCTCCACCTGGTGGCACAAGCAGGTTCTACAGCTCATCTATGATACTTAAAGTGTCCATTACAGAGGAAAGGTTTTGGATCAGCAGATACGAAAAAATTTAATGGATCAGATCTGACCGGGGACAAAAACACCTTGATCCAAACATCCGTACTGGAAATACAATCTAAACTGTTTGTGTGGGTAGCTACCACTGTGATAAAAATTGATTTTTAAACCTATACAGATGAACCAACCCGTTACAGAGCTGTTACCAGGCTGTTGCACCCATGACCAAACCCAACAGGGACGTTAGAGTAGAGACACACATACTGACACTAGCAAACATGTCAGTAACGTTTCAGTCAAAACTACGACGCTGCACACGTACAGTAGTGCACGAACACGAGGATCAGTCAGGATTAGTCAGGCTGAAAAACTAAATACAACAGGCTGTACACACACATTTTGCTCAAAAGACTGTTTTATGAGTTTAAACCAATTTTGCTAATTGAATCAATTATTCTGTGTGGAAGTAAAAAAAAAAAATCCATCCTACATTAATATCAAGATCAGAGCGACTCAATCAGGCCATTATTAATCTGAGCTCTTGTTCAGTAATATTTTATTTTATAACAAATGAGGTTTATTTCTATAACAAATTCAGGTCATATCTGCATTTTCACTGATGCTTCTTGAGGTGGGCACACTGCTGTCTCTCTGTATATCTGTCCTCATCCCCACATATAGGCAGCGCTCTGCTATCTGCTGATACACCGGACAGTTAACGGTCAGCGACAAGAGCAGGCAGATAAGTCTGGCAGAAGAAGGCAAGCGGGCCTTGGACAGCACAATACAAACTCAGGCCAAGTCACTATTAAGCTGTTCAGCATTTAAACAGCAGATACTCCCAGAAAATTGAACTGCACATGTATATTTTCAATTGCCTGCAAATTATTTAAGTTTTTTTGTTCAGTTTTTTTAAATATATTATTTGGGCTTTTTTTTTTTTCTCCTTTATTTTAGAGCAGTGGAGAGAGACAGGAAAGGGGGGTGAAGAATGGGGAGAAACCTGCAGCAAAGGGTCGCAAGGGGGAGTTAAACCCACAACCGCTGCATCGGGGAGCTATAGCCCTGTACATGGGTCGCTCGCTCAACTAGGTGAGCTACAGGAGCACCCAGATTATTACCCAGTTAAATTCAGTTCTTTCACAAACATGCTGATCTTGAATCTGACAGAATTTACCCGTTTGAATGTCCTTCCAAAGAACCCACGACTTCGACTGATCCTCGAAAATCACGAAGCATCGTTGCTTGTCCCGATCTATCTGAAAGAGAAAACGAAAACAGAGATTACCTTGATGCTAAACACCGAACTGACTGAAAACAAACAAACAAAATAACATCCTATTCCCTCCCTACAGCCTGCTATCGGCATCAACGCCCTATCATACTTGAACTTGTTCTTTGGCTCTTATCTAGATCCTCACTTGTGTTGTATCAGCTCTCAGATGTACATCGCTTTGGATAAAAGCGTCTGCTGGATGAAATTGTAGAAACTGTTCTTAAAGCCTAAACACACAGCACAGCCATCTCACACCCTCAGAAACAAGGAATGACTTTCTTGCAGGCAGCAAGTGATGAAAATGAGCAATAGTCCAGCGGGTTATAGTTTTAAAAACCATTATCCATAAGCTGTGCATGTTATGACCAAAATGGTAATAATCTAAGTTACCACTGAGGTTTCATAAAACAAGGTGAAATATTGCAGCTAAACAACATTCTAATGCCAAACCTATGCATGTAAATACGTGCAGCTGCTGGTGCTGTGATGGAAAACTTGTCAGAGCACCAAACGCAGCGCTTCCCTCTGACCAACCTTTGTGATCGTCCCCAAATAGAACAATCCGTCCGACCACCGGGCCAAGACGTCCTGTCCCTCTGTAAACCTGTCAGACATGCCGTCTTCTCCATACTCCCCCCTGACAGAGAGGCTGGTGGGGGACAAGGACACGGCCTCCTGCTGCTGCTGCCGCTGGGGATGAGCTCTGTGATGGACCGGCAGGTGATCCACAACCCCTGAGTCTCTGGAAAACAGGGCGGAGAGAGAAGAGAATTCACAATATGGAATAAACTGAAATGCCTTTAGGTGATAATCTCAGCTTTTACTGTGAGTAATTCATATTCTATGTGATGCTGACGGCGTGCCAGGACTAGTGAATACAAGTAGGGGGCGACCAATTATCAGCCTGGCATTACCGATTGATGGTATCACTATTTTTGATAAAAACAGATGCACTACTTTGGCTCTGATGCCTCTAATCACCAGCTATGTGCTGCCCACAACACAATCTGACTGCTTAGTAGTGGTACTATCAACACTGGAGGACAAATATATTCATTTTTAAACACATATTTAAAAAAAAAAAAAAAAGAAGAAGAAGAAGAATTTAAATTGACAATAGTTTTTTCATTCTTACTGCAAGTATGCAATATTTCCAAGTTACTATGCTCCTTGATTGCTAGAAATAGATATTAATTAATATCAGTTTGGGGAAAATCCATATCATTCAGTCCCTATGTAGGTGTACAGATTCAACTGGGTGGTGTTTCTGTGAGAGTTGAAGTAAAAAAATAAATAAAATGCAAGCACAAGAAACCTTCAGCTGTGGCTAAAAATAGAAAATCAACACTCTAATTTAGGAGACTGGTTTAAAAGAAAGCCATTTCTAGCAGCCAGCAGGACTTACATGCATTTATTTCTGTGTATTTGTACGGAAACACTGCAGTGTGTGTGTGTGTGTGTGTGTGTGTGTGTGTGTGTGTGTGTGTGTGTGTGTGTGTG